GAGCGTATAGTGCAGTGATCAGAGGCGCCCGCCCTGCAGTATACATGGAATCGATCCCCTCTTTCTAGGCTCATCTCTCTGATGTCGGAAGATTGATTCCATACTTCTCTAGGAGGATAGCAGCACTGTCTCGAAGGCCATCACGAAAGATTGTATAGGCCGTATATTCACTTATTTGGCTCCAACAACACTTAATGAAGTCGACTGCATGGCGCATCGCTCACGGATTGGTCGACGCTGTGAGCTTTATCCTTTATCTTTTATCTAGGTATTTTCCATTAACATAATTCTTCGCCATTTTATCAATATACAGTGTTGTACTGCATCCAGATGTTTATTCACGGTAGAACTATGAGAGTAAAACCGTGAAAAAACACAGAGCTGCGGCTGAAGTTTCACGCCACGAATACATCGTTTTTTGCTAGAAATCACGGACGCATACAGGAATGATGACTATGGTTACAGCTAAACCCATATGGATGGAATATGACTCAAAAACAGTTCAAAGTGGCCGAAGGCATCCGCTAGTGAAGATATCGTGTTCGAGATCCTGATGTCGTTTTTTCAACGTATTCTGCCAGCATTCCAACGATCGCATGGTAGGCAGCAACGGATTCGATAAAGCAACCGCTTCAGAAATGACAGATCACCGACAACAAGAGAATGGAACACCGCATTCCTCCGGTTGCGGATTAGCTATCGCACAGTTGAACTGATAACTGAGATTCCAATCTCGATATCCCTGAGCGGCAGACGATATGCCACAACATTCCAGATTTTCCTGCACAGAGTCGACGATTTTAGCAAGATTACGATTCGTGTGATAAATCTTAATCGCATGCACCAACACGCTATGAGCGGGTATCCCTTCCGTAGTGTCAGAATAGAACAGCACATAAAGTCCGAATATTGTTAGCACAATTACTAGTGAGCAGAAGAACACAGATATTGCAAACACTTTTAAAACAAAGATGTTATCTCGTAAAGCACTAAATAAACCAATCAAAGACACAATACTTATGCAACATCCTATTAAGGGAAGTAAAATCGCCGCATTGAAAAAACATCGAGCAGTTTGATTTCACCAAAGTCCTTGACGAATAACACACACACCGAAACCATAGTCATCAGTACACACCGAAAACAAAAATCCCAGCTCCACATAAAAAGACCAGAAATTTCGCCAAGAAGATGATCCATTTGAGACAGGCGGAGATTTCCTGCCATGGTTTGCGCTTCATGTGGTGGGCGCGCGACTCGACTTCGGGCATCAGATGAGAGCCCTCAAGGTCACCCTTATATCTCTGTCGGATATGACGAAGACATGCACCAACCGCACGCAACTTGTTGTGTCCCTGAAGCTCTACACGCAAACATGGGTAATTCATATTGGTCGGGCGCACATTTATTGAAAATTTCATTATGGATGTCGTCCAAGAATCCCAAACTGGAGGGTTGAAGACAAAAATATAGTTGGGTTTGCCTTGACTTTGGGATATCAACTAATCATGTTTCGATGGAGTTGATTTTCAAACTTTTTCTTAACAATCCCGGTGAGGAAGCGCTGCCCCCACTGGGAACTAGAAGAACGCATTTACAACTTGTACCCGAGTAAATTAAAATGTGAGCAACCTGAACATAATTTCACTGCATATCACTTTAACTTAATCTTAGCGAAATCTATAAAAGAGCTCGGTGGTTAAAGACAACATGTTTCAGCTATGATACTAAATTCGTGAATTTCAAAGGGGTGAATGCTAACTACACGTCACGAAGTGCATCGAGTCGTGACAGGTCGACTAACAAGCGAGTGGCATCACATCGTCGCAATCAGAAAGACAACATTACCACGAACGATGTTGGCGGCGAACAGAGCAGTCAGAATGCTTCTGTCTTACTCTTTCTTACAAACTGTGATTGCATCAGTGTTCGGTCAATCATCTTCCATTTTTGGCCTGTAGTGCACAATACCGTCGTCAATTCGAAGCAACCGAATCCACAAAAACTTCGAATTGCTGGAAAAAATCCATTTGAAGAAATTCAACAGAAAGAACAAGAAGTGCAATAAAGGTCCAAAGAGCGTTCTAAGGTAAGCATCTTAAGGTTTTTCTAGTGTACTTACTGCGTCAAAATATAAGCGTCGTTTCATGCATCCTTGGCTTCTCAGCGAGTGCTTTGTTTTTTACCCACTTCCAGACTGAGGTGATAGAATCGGAGACGACTGACGCCTACAATATTTTGTTCTCCTTAAAAAAATTTAGTGGGCGCGTTTCCTGAAAAACTAGAAACAACATCGTAGACTCATGGCAAGTGTCTCCTTTTAAAGTTCGATAACTAAAACAAGGTTTTTCTTTGAATAACTGATTTAGATCCAGAAATTTTATGTTCAGTGGGTCGAAAGAGAAACTTAATCCGAAGGCGTCACATGTTGAATCCAATAACGATAGGAACTATTTAATCATCAATGTCGACCCGACTTTCCTAATTGCAGTTCTTCTATGCCTAGGTACACTTCCAAGGTAATAACCAAGATGACAAGGTACAAACTTTCATTCGGCAACAGAAGTAAGACAAGGTTTGGACTATAGGTGCAGGAGAGTTTGAAACACTTATTTGTTTTGACCTTATTCGTGATTTCGCTAGTTTCGCAAATCCTGCATTTTTTCTGCACGCTTTTCGGCGGCTTTACACGATTTGACACACTTACTTAAGTTTTAACTTTGTTGTTTTCACTGAATGTATGCCTTTCTCTATTCATTGGGATGTTTAGCTGACATACAGGTCACTTCTAGTATGGATATTAACATTTTTTAACATCCAGAAGCTTTCTCTAGTGAATGACCAGGCGTGTGCCTACCCCGAAAAAAATGTCGACTCTCTTACAACTTCAACAATTTGCATGAAGAATGGGCATCGCCAAATCTACACTACTCAACCCCACACTGGTATCGAATATCGAGGTGTAGGTACCTTTCCGTCATGGCAAATATATATATATATATTCATGTATATATATATATATATTTTTTTTGCGAGGCTTTTTGAAAGTAAGCACCCACTGCCAAATATGTATAAAGCTAAAAAAAGCACTCGGCCTTGATCAATCACTGAGGGATGCGCCAGCCATTCGACTTCATTAAGCATCGTTTAAGGTGATTGAATGCATATCTGGCCTTTACCATGACTCGTGGGGCCCTCCATGTATCGAACCAGTGCTGCTATCCTCCCAGACAAGTCTTGTACCAATTTGCCAGCCCTGGAGAGATGGAAGGTTTGTTGGACCATGGGCACCGAGATGGATTCCACGTGTATGCTGCAGGGCGACTCCGAACACTGCACTACACGCTCCTCTAAGCAAAAGAGATTCGGCTAAATATTGAAGTACAGAATAGTCATCGTCAGCTAACCATGAATCAAGTACTATCTTCACCAAGGAAACGGTAAAAAATTTCTAGAACTCCATTTAACAAGGAAACGATAGTTAAAGTAAGTTAAATTAACAAAGCTTGCCTTTAAATATGTCAGAAATAACTCGTAGGCTTCTCGAACAATCCCAATCTTTAGACCAACAATATAACCTAGCTTAGACGAACGAATATGTTCGATTTCATACGGCCACTCCTCCAGTGTGTCTTCTCTGACTGGGTGATCTGCCATAATCAGCAGATAAAGAGACCAGGTTCAAGGAATGCATGGATATCTTGAGCGATCAATCACTTGATGAGAAGGAAAACGAAAGGTGGGACGAATTTGCTAAGCTAAAATCAAACTCTATGAATGCGGATGATAACAGGAAAATATGTTTTGATTGCGACACTGTTAAACAACAAAGCGCTAGCCGTTCGTTCAACACTGCCTTATCGGTTATCCATGTTTACAAATAAAGTTGGCTCTTTGACGGTTATCCACGTTTTCGAAAGCCGGTAAGGCTTATTCCATTTAATTTTTGAAAAGAATCGCTAGCGGGTTACCCGTAAACCAAGGTGAGTAGATTTACTTAAACACTTGCGTAGTGTTCATTGCGTTACCTAGCGCTGTGTGTGCGTGTTTGATATAAGTCATTTAGGGGTCCCATAAGTGTAAAACTTCCTTTGTTCCTATTTAGCATGTAGTTGTTATGATGCTAGCAAGGTATTCTACAGGGGCGCCTATGGTGCAGTGGTCTGAGGCGCTCTGCAATACACATAGAATCGATCCCCGCTCTCTAGGCTCACCATGCATTCCGTCCTTCCAGAGTCGGCGAATTGGTACCAGACTTGTTCCAGATGATAGCAGCACTTGCTCGATACATCGGTAGGCTACCACGACTCATTGTAAAGGCCGCATATGCATTCAACGACCTCCAGCGTTGATTAATGAAGTCGAATGCATGGTGCACCTTCTGGGATTGATCATTGCTGACAGCATTATCCCTTATGTTTTAAGACATTCTAACCACGACCATTATTCGGAGCGCCTACTAAGTCATTCAGGAAGTGCGCCCAGCCAGATGGTCTCGCTGGAAAGTATTCTTGCCTTTCTCCTGTGCAGTAGCTCCTATAGTTTTAGCTCGTGCTGCTTGCTTTTAAAAACATGCTTTTTTGTTTGACACATTTTTCCTTTAACGTTCCTAGTTCAAGACTTTAGACTGTGCAAAGTTTCCAGATGGATTCGAAAAACTGTGTGAACAATGATGACGGCTTGTCTTCGAGTAACTATAGAAATATTAATGAGAATGAAAGCACTGAGGGTCAGTTTTTATTTCTTGCATCTCAGTTTCATTTGCGAAATTTCCATTCTCCGGAGACTTGTTGGCTTAACCGTTATGGTTTCCTGGTGTCCCATTGACAGCCTGGGAAAACTCTGCTCCAGGTCGTCATCACCACAGGCAGTCGCCTCCTTTGTGGGTCGGAGAAAGATTTGCACAATGCGACTAGTTTCATACTAAGACACTTGTGGATCCTGCAGTTAGTTTATTCTTGCCTGGGCTTCGCGCCGAACTCCTCAGCATGAGGGACCGTGCCGCGATGACGAATATCCTCGCTGTACATCGCAACCGGATACCCAGGGACACCTCCCACTTACGATGAGGCGGTAAACCGTTGGAAGGTTTGCGATTATTCAGGTAAACGAATATTAGGTTTGCAAGTCAATATAAAATAAAGGGTAATAGACACATTCCCGTCTCTGTATTAATCATTTCATCTTTCTCAGTCGAATAGTCGTAGGATTTACTATTCTCGGGCAGTTCGAGTCACTTGCATCATCCTGCGAACAGATAGGCAAGGGCTCGGGTGTTCCTTGTTTTCTTGAGTACATCAGCGATGCTCTTGAAAGCTCTCCAAACCGCTCGTTTTTTTCTGTTAAACTCTCGAGCTAAGTCTTTTATCATGTTGATGGCCCAAATTAGATAGACGTATCTGGAGCACTTAGAGATATTCAATCTGTTGAGCGTAAATGGGCATAATATACCAATCCGCTCGCCGCAGATATCGTTTTTCGTGGTTTAGTCGTAGGCAAATCTTCCCATAGGCGTCATCAAGTCGCCAAGCATTCACTTTTTTGGCTTTCTGGCTTTCTGGCTTATGATTAGTGTCGTAAGAACGATCTCATCAGCAAAGCGAAGTTGGTTTAACTGTGGTCAATCAATTGTCACTCCCATGTAGTTCCACTCCAGCGTTCAGATGACGTTGACGAGAGTAGCGGTAAATAATTTTGGCGAAATGGGATCGGTTTTCCTAACTCCTCTTCTAACCTCGACGTTAATATCGTTGTAGAATGATGACATCTCGGTTGTAAAATTTTTATACAGTTCACCAATAATACTCATATACTGAGTAGGGACTTCCTGGCTCTTCAGGGCTTTCGTGCCTGCTTCTACCTCAAATGAGTCAAAAGCCTTCTTTAAATCGATGAAAGTGGTACAGAGCGGCCTTTGTACTCGCGAGATCCTTCAATGAGTCTTGTCATCGTGTAGATGTTGTTCGTCGTGCTGAATTACTTTCGAAGCTCTGCTTGCTCACATGGTCGTCCTTCACCCAGTGTTCTGTCAATCCTCTTTTAGCTCACACGAGTGAAAAGTTTGTAGAGGACAGAAAGCAAGCAGAATGGGTGATGGTTTCCGAAATCGCGGAGGTCACACTTCTTGAACAGTGAGACAGTTTTTCCAGCTTTCCAATGAGTAGGGACCTTGCTTTCGGACAGATAACTTGTGAAGAGCCGAGACAAAGTGTTTATGAGAATTGGCGGAAGGTTTATCAAGTGTTCAGATCCTATTCTGCCCAGAAATGGTATTCTTTGATTT